CACATGCTAAAAACGGATAGATGCAAAAATAACCTTGACACAAAATCTTTAAATTTCGACTTAAATCCAAGTAAAGTGCTGAGAACATCTACATGGTCACAGATATTGTATTAACTAGGGTTTTATTTAAAGGGAACAGTTGGCACCCCTGGTGCTAAAATCTGAGGAGATGCTGGGGGTGCAACACTTCGTATAACCCTGGATTTCAGCACACATTTTATTCTTATAGCTTAAGCTCTAATCATGATAGTAATTGACAAGGATATGCTATAACCATTGCAAAACCCTTACTTTGCAATAACCTTTTTATTAGTTTAATTATTTTTTATTTTTATCCTGAGTTTCACAGTTAAGTGAAACACATAAAAGAAATTTAAGAAAAACGAATTGTGAGAACACACAATGTCATTCTGAAGAGCTACCAGAGGCGGCGCTGTGACTCACTCATTAAGTAAGGGCATTGACGTCCTTCTCTTGCTCTTCTGTACCATGTTTGCTTGGTTCCTTAGGGATATTTGGATAAGGGAGGGGGCAAGGCGGCATGGTTCTCCATCGACCTGCATGGGGATGGCCTTGTATGTCAGCAAAGTCACTTCCCTGCACTGGTGAAGCCTCTCTCCATGGCCACCTACCTGGAGAGCAGCCTGGAACAAAAGAGAAGAGCATAAAAATCAGTCAGGTGATACTTTCAGCCTGAATAAAGCAAACATCCCATATATATGCCTCTTATTTACTGATAGGATGTTGTTTGAAGTGCAATGCATTTAAATAAAGTCTGATGTAATCTGGACCCCCCTAGTAAGCTATAAACTGCCCAACATTGTCTAGTGTTAGCAGTTATGTTTCATATCGATTTAGTAAATTCGCATTAAGTTTGTGTGTTTTCTTCTAGGTGCTCTTGTCTATTACTACCATAAACGTATTGGTCATTTCATAAAGATCCACCGAAACTGCCTTGCATGAGTATCTGTATAGCGAGGAGGAGACACTCTGCAAAGTACTGAATAATTTGTTCATGCCATAAAAATTAATTAAATACATCTCATTTATCAAACCGGTTGCTTACTTTTCTCCTGTAATAAATTACTTTGTTTTTCTGTTAAATATTCCGGGGAAGTCAGGCACTGAGTTTTTTTTTAAAACTTGGCAGCGCTAAAATATATTTAGAACAGCAAAGCAACATAGGACTTAGCCATCGAAACAAATGGGCTTAAAACAGAATATAGCCTATAACTTTAGAGGAGAAGAGGGAAGAACAGGAGGAAGAATAGAAGACAGGGAGGAGGGAAAGAAGGAAGGAAGGGTGGTAGGATAGAGAGAGGGAGAAGGGAAGGAAGAGAGGAAGGAGCTATAAGGAAGAAAAAAAGACAGGGCAGGAACAGGAAAAGAATAAAGGTATAAAGGAAGGGAAACAAGGAGGGGGCAGGGATGGAAGGAAGAAGGGAAGGGAGGAAAGAAGAAAGAAAGGAAACGGAAGGATAGAAGGAAGGAGATATAAGGAAGATATGAAGACAGGGAGGATGGCAAGGAAAGAATAAAGACGAGGGGAGATAAGGAAAGGAATTAGGGAAGAGAAACAGGGAGGGGGCTGGGAAGGAAGGAAGGGAGGAAGGAAGGGAGGAAAAGGGAAGTAAGAACGTAAGGAAGACAAGGAAGGGTGGCAAGGGAAGAATAAAAACGAGGGTAAGGAAAGGAAAACAGAAAGAGAAACAGGGAAGGGGCAGAGATGAAAGGAAGGAAGGTAAGAAAGGGAGAAGGGAAGTAAAGAAGGGAGGGAGGAGATATCAGGAAGAAATTAAGACAGGGAGGATGGCAAGGAACGAATAAAGATAAGGGAAGGTAAGGACAAGAATATAAGAAGAGAAACAGGGAGGGGGCAGGGATGGAAGAAATGAAGAGATGAAGGAAAGAAGGAAGGAAGAAGGGAAATAAGAAAGGGAGGAAGGAAGGAAGGGAGGGAGGAGATATCAGGAAGAAAGGAAGACAAAGAAGGGTGGCAAGGAAAGAATAAAAATGAGGGAGAGTAAGGATAGGAATAAAGAAAGGGAAACAGGGAGGGGGCAGGGATGGAAGGAAGGAAGGAGAAGGGAAGTAAGAAAGGGAGGAGGAAAGTAAAGAAGAAAGGATGGGAAGGAGGAGATACCGGGAAGAAAGGAAGACAGGGAGGGAGTAAGGAAAGAATAAAGGTGAGGAGGGGATAGAAAGGAATAAAGGATGGGAACAGGGAGGGGGCAAGGAGGGAAGGAAGGAAGACAAGGAAGGACAAAACTGAAAGAAAACATGGAGGGGACAAGGAAGGGGGAGGGGGGACCGAAGGAAGGCAAGCAGAAAGAAAGATGCAAGCAGGGAAGTTAGGAATGGAGAATTCACTCTCTTCTTATATACTCCACACAAAGAACCTGGTTACAAAAAATCAGAATGCCCAATAGGCCCAATTGTATGTGGCCTATTTAAAAAACATAAAAAATAGTGACTTCTCATTTCATTGTATGTTACCCTTTTTCATTCCCAAATGTTTCTTCAATGTGGTCATACACGTGGCAATTTTCAGTCAGTTTCAACCACTTTGGAGCCACCAGTAATCGCAAACACTATTGCAAGTAATCGCCGGGACTAAGCTAACTACCACCAATTAGTTTATTCGATCGCCAAAATTATATCAGTTGTTGGAAACTGGGCAATAAATTGACAGCTTCAGTTCAGCTTACTGAAACATCCGACATTAAATCTTAACTGGAAAAACATACTGCAATTTTGTGGATCGGATTTTTTGGCACATTAGAATAGGGCAAATTCAATCCGATCTCCATGACACTAAAAAAACTTCTTGAGGAAAGCTGCTTTTCTACATTCCCTCCACTGGAAGTGAATATTGAGCAGCTTCTTAGAGTGGAGCAATTTGAAAGTGACAGAATTGCAGAAAACATTTATAAATGCATATAAAACCTAGAGGGTAAAAATGATCAAAGAATGTGTCAAGATCAATTGTATAAATAGAGACATTATTTCCCAATACATTTTCCACCCATTTTGACCTTAATAACTAGACCCCTGCAATGACAAAATTGTATATATCTCAGCCGGGACATATGCAGTTTCTTCTTTTTCACCAAATACAGGTGAGGTCCCATTCTAAGCTCTAAAGTGCCACCTACAGACATGAATGGGCAATTGCATGTTAGGAAATAAACATCAACCAGGCTCCTGGAATCATCTGTTTAAAGCAGGAAATAGGGGAATCAAACAAAGTTTTGGGCCTTGTAATGATTGCTATGGGAAAAAAACGAATTCCTATTGGATAAAAAAGCATAATTGTAATTCAGCTCTTCATTTTGTAACATATTTTTTTAACAATCAGCTCCATCTGAAATTAAAATTTGGTTTGTGTGGGGTTAATGGCTGTAAGGATTGCAAATTAGGTTCTCTTAATTCAAGGAATGGAAGCTGTATTTAGCATTTAAACATTTCTCCTTTGGACCAGAGTCCAGGTTTCTTACCAAAGATGCCATAGTGAATCCAATGACCTCGATGTAGCCATCATCATGGCGCTGAGGTTCAAAGTCTCTATGGTCACCAGGGTTTCCCCAGGGCATTGTGCCAGCACAGTACCTGCAGAATGGGACAGAAGTGTGAGAAGAGAGAGCTTGTTGTGTTCAGTTACAATGTACCTTGTATAAATATAGCTTTGTGTCTGTAACTGAATGTACCAGCCTTGTAATACGGAGCCAAGGGAGCAGTGCATAATAAACATTATCAATCTGTTGTATAAACAATTCCTTTCTAGAGAAACAGGATTCTCTGATCTGTCTAAGAAAACACATTCTCCTGAGACTGAAAGTACTACATGATAAAAAGAAAGAAAGAAGAAAGAAAGAAAGAAAAAAAGAAATGCAGGCAGTTTGAAAGACACACTCTGGCCTTATTCACACTCGTTAGTTTCTTTGCAGTCAAATAGAAGCATTTTATAGCATGAAACTGCATTTCAAGTAAAAATTCTATTCTTTTCTGTGTTTACATCATGTGCACTGCAGTGTGTTTTTAAAGGAAACTATAAGAGCCCACTTAAACCTATATGTGTGCATTACCACACTCTCTGCAACATGTGTGCATAAGTCTAAATGGACTCAAGGGGAAGAGAGAAATGGAGGGGACGAGAGAAAGGAAGGTGAAGAGAGAGAGCGGCGACCGGTGGACATGGACAGTGAAATAGGAAGGGGGAGAGAGAGAGAGAGAGAGAAGAGAGAATAGTAGGGGGTGGTGAAAAGACAGAAAAAGGAAGGGAAAGGGAGAAGGATCGGGGAGATAGAAGTAAAGAAATATAGCGACAGAGAAATGAGTATGAGTGTGAGAGAGTGAAGCATTGGAGAAATGTACAGACAGAATAAGAGGCCATATAAAGACAGTGGAAAATGTGCAAAATTAAAGTAAGACTAAACTCAGGCGTTGAATCTTAAAAAAACATCCAAGTACCTTAACTATTAACAAAAATGTTTCTTATTTGTGTATCACTCAGTTGTAGATTCTCAAATTATCTCTGAATTGGTGCTGACACTGTCCTTCCTTCTGGAGGGTGGCTACTTTTGTTCCCCATGGTCCCTGTGTGTGTTGTGAAGTAGCCACCGCTCCAAGCTCAATCCCATGATGGACTACAATCTCATGTTTAGTTTACTAATTTGTATTGAGATTGTAGTCCATCACGGGAGTGAGCTTGGAGTGGTGGCTACTTTACAACACACACAGGGGCCATGGGGAACAAAAGATGTCACCCTCAAGAAGAAAGGACAGTGTCAGCACCAATTCAGGGATGATTGAAGGATCTACAGCCTAATAGTTAGGGTATTTGAATGCATAAGATTTGACTCCTGAGTTAAGTGTTACTTGGTACTTGAATGTATTTTTAAGATTTCATTCCTGAGTTTAGTGTAATTTTAATTGATTTGGGTGCATGTTAATTCTTCACTATGGCCCATAAATCTTTCTGCCAAATGAAAGTAAATGGCAAAATAGAAGATCTCATTAACAGCCTTATTATATTTGCAGAATAGATTGTTAAGCAAAATTTTGCCTAAATAGAAGCCTTTTCGAGTGATACACAAATAAGATATTTTTTTTGGTAATAGTTGAGGTACTTGAATGCATTTTTAAGATTTAACTTCTGAGTTTAGTGTCACTTTCAGGAAAATAGGGAGAAAAGGAGAAAAAAACAGATAAAGAAAGGGAGGATGCGAGAGGAGTAGACATAAAAAGCAGCAGATACAAAAATGATGGTAACAAAGATTTTTTATTTTTTTTTGCTTTGGTCACATCAAAGGCCTCACAGCTTACCTGGGAATATTTAAGAAGACGATACACTGAAACTTCAGCTCTTGGATCTTGGGCGTGAGGTCAGTCCCATCACACTGTAATACCGAGACAAAGCAACCTTATCAGTAGGTACAGAATGAGCTCTTCAAAATCTGACTCCTTCCATTTATTTTTGCTGTGAGTAGTGTTAAAAATTTGTGGTGTATATTGGTAACCAGGCCCGTCTTTAATACTGATCGGACCCTGGGCAAACATTTTCTTTCCCCCCCCCCCCAGGAATTTCTCTCACCTCCCCAACAACAAGAAAAGAAAAAAAAAAACAGCACACATAGATCATGTTGCGCTAGGAATAGAAAACAGTGTATGATAGATTGCCAGCTGCAACAATGTGTTGTGAAAACCCGTGTAAATGAGTAGCTAGTATGTTGCGCTAAGCCTTGATATACAAATTATGTGACATAAATTAACCTCTAATGGGTGCCTGGTGAAATTAATTTAAATAAATAGTGGTTATGAAATAAATACGTGAAAAACAGATGAATAGATATATAAAATATTGTGTATGTGATCAGTGAAAATAATTCTTATTAGATGGGAAGGCAATGAAAAATCAGACCAAAATATATAGATAGTAACTCATAAAAATGTCCTGTGATCGTGATTCAACCTTGTGCATCAAAACTGGACAAAGATAGGTCAATCCTAGGTAAATAAATACATTATATATGTGTGATTAATTAAATAATTCATTGAGAGCGTGCATGAAATCTAAAATTCACACGTATAATGGGTATAATCTTAAATAAAGTGTCAACAACAAGGAAGAGAGCACCCCCCTGAAATGATGGCAGATAGCAAAGAAGCTAATGCTTCCTTTGTTATCTGCTGTTTTTTTTAGTGTTCTACAGCATAGGAACTAATAGCTAGATTGCTATTGGCTATTTCAATTTGCAATAGCCAATAGCAAGCTGGCTATTGCACCCGCCCTCTGCTGCTGTCAGTCAGCAGAGGTGGACCTGATGGAGAAATTCAGGTCCACCTCTGCTGATTGCGGCAGTGGGTGGGTGCAATAGCTAGTCTGCTATTGGCTATTGAATTGAAATAGCCAATAGCAATCTAGCTATTAGTTCCTATGCCGTTTTTTTTTTTTCTGACTGATGGCGGTCGGTGGCCACGATGTGAGAAAGAGAAAAACAAACAGCACGGAAAGGTTTACTCTGCTGGATAGAGCAGAGTAAACCTTTCGGGAGAAAATCTTTAGCCCTCGGTGTGTCCGGGAGCCGCTATCTAATAGCAGAACATCCGGGAGAGTTGAGATGTATGCTATATTTTGCCTACGTTGGATCCTCCATTCCCTCCTTATCAATTATTAAATAAAACCTTTCTGTTTTCATTCCATACCTTATTTTAAGGTATACCATCATCACTGGGTCTCTTTGCAATGCAAGCAGATGCAATGCAAGCAGACCATGCTTGGTAAGAGGGGTTGGCAGGGTACTTTACATAGCTTTCTGAAAACAGGAAGCTGTGGTAACAACCACATGTGAAGCTGAGCTTCCATGTTTAACAGAACTGAAATCCAATGAATGAAAGGGACAAACCAGAGACAGTAAGACTAGGGAGGAAAGCGATAAATGATACTGGGCATTCTCCAGCCAGGATAATACTCGACTTGATGCAGCTTCTATTTCACACTGTGACAAGCTCACACAGTGTGCAGTGAAATCAGAGTGAAATCTGTAGTCCCAGCACACTTACTGTCCTAGCGTGACAATGCTATTCCTCCATAGATACATATTGTCATCCAGCTACAGGAAGTAGCCAGTAAAAAAGAAAACTAATACAGCCACCACATCTAAGGACCAGTAAGCTGCAATTTATTACATTTTTGTTCTTGGGTTTAGAAACATTTTACAACCCATGTCAGATTCTTTCTTTCCTGTCCGTGTCCCATTGGGAACATTTTTGCCTTCACTTTCTGTTCTGGAGGAGCCTCTCCAAAAATCCCCTCACAGACAGCTGTCACCAGAACAAGACATACACATACCTTTTGTTCTAACAACAACTGTAAAATGTTTGATTTTTCATATTTTGCTGTACAGCTGTTAATGGCCACAGGGACAAATAGAAAGGGTTAATCTAATCTGGGAATAAAAGGGGGGTTAAACCATGAGTACCCCCTGTCAGTGATAGATGGTTTGCCCCATCCCCTGTAACTGCCAATTTTGCTTGGCATTTTGGCCTGTTACAGGAAGTGGACAAATCAAACATCTACTGTTGAGATGAACAGGTAATAAAACTATATTAAGCGGGACTCAGAAAGACAAAAACTCTGCCCGATTTTGCCCATAATTACACTCTGAACCATCTCTGTACTGTCCAAGAAGTAAGTCCGTACATCATGTGTCCAATATATTAAATCTAGTAAGGATGTTCACTTCAACACAGTCAATCAGCTCATAGCTTTTATTCATACAGAAAAGTAAACATTCTTATGGATCTTATGTTTTAGAAGAGACAAGTATGCTGTTATTTAAGAGTTTAAACGTCTACTGAGCACTCACCACAACTTTAACATGTTTGGCTAAATCTCTGGAGCTCCTCTGTAAGAAGTCTGAGAAAGCTGCCTGTAGAAAAAAAGAACAATGAAGAGCTAGTTTGTAGACAATGAAAGAGAAAAAGTACATAGATCAGATAGGTCAGCTGATAAAAACCACATATATACAAAGTAGGGATGCACCGATACCGATACTAGTGTTGGTATCGGTGCCGATACTGAGTATTTCGGCGAGTACTCATACTCGCCCAAATGCTCCAATACCTTCCCCGATACCGGAACTTCCCATCAGAGGAACATGAAGCTGACTTCCCGGCCAATGCAGCATGCCTGCGGATTGGCTGGGAAGCTGGTTTCCTGGCCAATCAGTATGGAGCCACCCGGCTTCCTGATTGCCCGGGAAACCAACACGATGCTGATTGGCCCGGGAAACCGGTTTCACGGCCAATCACAATCGAGCCGGCCAAACAATCAGGAAGCCGGGCAGCGGGTAACGACATGCTGCCTGCTTCCTAATTGCCTAGGAAGCCGGCTCCATGCCAGCGGAAGCACCAGTATCGGTACTTGGTTTCGGCGAGTACCGAAAGCAAAATATCGGTGCTCATACTCGATACCGAAAAAACGGTATCGGTGCATGCCTTATACAAATATATACTACATCTTCCAAAGGTAGAGTAGGCAGTCAAAGGAATTCCTTCCTTTCCTTACACCACACCCCACCCTTCTCAAAACTATGAGACAGACAGGCTATGGCTCGATGAAACGTTGGCATAATAAAGCAACCTTCTCGTTTCCATCATCCTCCGATACTGTGTTAGAAGTCCTTGGAGTGCCTACTCTACTTTTGACTGCATTATCTCTACATGAGGAGCACCAAGGTATATTCATGGCAATGAGTGTTGATACCAATTTTATATATAGTATAACATTTTTTTTGCAAGAAGCTACCCCCATTGTTTTTACGGGGGATAATAATCAATAAATTCAAAGATATAAAGAGCTGAAGTTATATGGTCATGTCATCTCTTTTCTGTAAAAGTCTAGCATGGACCTGCCCCTGCTTTCAAGCCAATAAAGTTGTTGTGAACACTTGAGAGTAGATTCTGGTCAACTGACCACTGGCTGGCTCCAAAATGGCTCCACTCTTAGCTCCTTTAGTCAGCAGACCCTTTCCCCATCTCAAAGACTATGATGCATCAAAGTGTCTGAGTTTCCTATGACACCCAAATGGATTTTCCCTTTTATTGTGTGCAGTTTGCAATTGGCTGCTATGGGCAACCCAGGTACTTTCCTTTCAGATCTTTAATGTAGTATGGCTTAGTATGAATTCATTGCCTAAGTGCAGGTTTAAACACCTGATTTTGTAATATATTTTGGTGCCATTTTTGTTATTTGCATGCAATATCTAAAATGGTAAAGCTGCTGGCATTAAGCACAAAGTTGAGATTGCGAGGCACTGTACACTCACCCCTGCATAGAACATCTTGTTACGAAAACGACTGTTGAATTTTTCGGGATTTGCTTCTGCAGGAAGAAAAGGAGGAAGAGGTCACACAGGTACTACCACTGATGGCAACTTAGATCCTGCTAGTCACAAGACCAAGCTACAGTTTAGGGAGATCATAGGGGTCATCAACTATTACCTTCACATTATGACTAGACCAGAGCAAATTAGGTAATGTTGCAAAATGTAGCTTTAGCTGCTAGTTATCATTACTATACGGAATATATACAGTATAGGGCCAACAATTTGCATAGCGCTTTACAATATAACGAATTACATTACAGATACAATAAGAAAGAGAAAAGTACATAGATCAGATAGGTCAGCTGATAAAATTCTAATAATCTTTTAATCACTTAGGACACATTTGGCTTTATGTTGCTTGCATACATTTAAAAACATTTTTTGATGTAAATTTATTATACAGTAAAATACCAAGAAAAAATGTGAAAAATTAAAATGTTTTTTTTTTTATTAATCCTACAGAACAGTCAATTTTGCTCCCAGACACAATACTAAACACAGTCTTCTAATTTTGATTACAGGAATACCAGATATTTATATGTTTGTCATATTTGTAATATTTTGTGCATATTACTTTGTAAGAGAAATAACCTTAACCCTTGCAGTGGGGCTATCCCCACACTGCAAGGGTTAAGTTCTCGTTTTTGTCTAGGGATGAAAATAGCAAATATATACTCATCTGAACCTCTGAGCCAGCTTGCTCTTGGATCGGTCCCTGCAGCCTCGCTACCCCTCTACCTCTGCGTTCCAAGGTCCTGTGAGTCATCACGTCCTATGTACTGGTCTAACAGTCAGCCGGCTCCGAGGTTCAAGTGAGTATATATTTGTTATTTTCATCCCTAGATAAAAAAGAGCACTTAACCCTTGTAGTGCGGAGTTAGACCCACAGTAAGGGTTAAGATTATTTCTGCCCAGAGTTCTAGAAAATAAGCAGGCCCATCTAAATTTGCAAAGTTTATTTACTATTTTAAGACAATTAGCAATTACGGAAGGCCACTACACTGCATAATCAGGATTCATTCTGCAAATTGCAATACATTTACAATAACAGACACTCAAATACATGGATCTATGATTCATGTTAGTGTCATTGTACATAGAGTTGCTCAAGAACATAATAAGACATTTCTGAAAAGTGACCCCACACGTGTTTTTATTGCCATTACATCTGATAAGGCCCACAAGTTAGAAAGCCCATTTTGACTGTAAGGGCAGTTTAGCATGAATTCTGGCTCCATATAGTGTTTTACATGGCCCTGCAATGCCAGGACACTAGAAACATCACTATGACTCCATGTAGAAAAAAATACCTCTTCAGCTTTAGCATATATGGCTCAAAGTATGTGGACATCCCTCCAAAGGATTGAGTTATGGTGTTTCCAGTTATTATTATTATTATACAGGATTTATATAGCGCCAACAGTTTGCGCAGCGCTTTACAATATAGGGAAGACATTACAATCACAATACAAATCAAAACAAGATGGTAAGGAGGAAACTGACCCTGAGGGCTTACAATCTAAAAGGGAGGGGGAAGTGATACATGAGGAGGGAGCTGTGTGGGGATGAATTGTTTGAGAACGTGACGGTTGAGCGGTTAGGTTGAGGTGGGATAGGCTTCCCTGAAGAGATGAGTCTTTAGGGAATGCCTAAAGGCAGTCAAGGTGGGCGACAGACGTACAAAGTTGAGATTGCGAGGCACTGTACACTCACCCCTGCATAGAACATCTTGTTACGAAAACGACTGTTGAATTTTTCGGGATTTGCTTCTGCAGGAAGAAAAGGAGGAAGAGGTCACACAGGTACTACCACTGATGGCAACTTAGATCCTGCTAGTCACAAGACCAAGCTACAGTTTAGGGAGATCATAGGGGTCATCAACTATTACCTTCACATTATGACTAGACCAGAGCAAATTAGGTAATGTTGCAAAATGTAGCTTTAGCTGCTAGTTATCATTACTATACGGAATATATACAGTATAGGGCCAACAATTTGCATAGCGCTTTACAATATAACGAATTACATTACAGATACAATAAGAAAGAGAAAAGTACATAGATCAGATAGGTCAGCTGATAAAATTCTAATAATCTTTTAATCACTTAGGACACATTTGGCTTTATGTTGCTTGCATACATTTAAAAACATTTTTTGATGTAAATTTATTATACAGTAAAATACCAAGAAAAAATGTGAAAAATTAAAATGTTTTTTTTTTTATTAATCCTACAGAACAGTCAATTTTGCTCCCAGACACAATACTAAACACAGTCTTCTAATTTTGATTACAGGAATACCAGATATTTATATGTTTGTCATATTTGTAATATTTTGTGCATATTACTTTGTAAGAGAAATAACCTTAACCCTTGCAGTGGGGCTATCCCCACACTGCAAGGGTTAAGTTCTCGTTTTTGTCTAGGGATGAAAATAGCAAATATATACTCATCTGAACCTCTGAGCCAGCTTGCTCTTGGATCGGTCCCTGCAGCCTCGCTACCCCTCTACCTCTGCGTTCCAAGGTCCTGTGAGTCATCACGTCCTATGTACTGGTCTAACAGTCAGCCGGCTCCGAGGTTCAAGTGAGTATATATTTGTTATTTTCATCCCTAGATAAAAAAGAGCACTTAACCCTTGTAGTGCGGAGTTAGACCCACAGTAAGGGTTAAGATTATTTCTGCCCAGAGTTCTAGAAAATAAGCAGGCCCATCTAAATTTGCAAAGTTTATTTACTATTTTAAGACAATTAGCAATTACGGAAGGCCACTACACTGCATAATCAGGATTCATTCTGCAAATTGCAATACATTTACAATAACAGACACTCAAATACATGGATCTATGATTCATGTTAGTGTCATTGTACATAGAGTTGCTCAAGAACATAATAAGACATTTCTGAAAAGTGACCCCACACGTGTTTTTATTGCCATTACATCTGATAAGGCCCACAAGTTAGAAAGCCCATTTTGACTGTAAGGGCAGTTTAGCATGAATTCTGGCTCCATATAGTGTTTTACATGGCCCTGCAATGCCAGGACACTAGAAACATCACTATGACTCCATGTAGAAAAAAATACCTCTTCAGCTTTAGCATATATGGCTCAAAGTATGTGGACATCCCTCCAAAGGATTGAGTTATGGTGTTTCCAGTTATTATTATTATTATACAGGATTTATATAGCGCCAACAGTTTGCGCAGCGCTTTACAATATAGGGAAGACATTACAATCACAATACAAATCAAAACAAGATGGTAAGGAGGAAACTGACCCTGAGGGCTTACAATCTAAAAGGGAGGGGGAAGTGATACATGAGGAGGGAGCTGTGTGGGGATGAATTGTTTGAGAACGTGACGGTTGAGCGGTTAGGTTGAGGTGGGATAGGCTTCCCTGAAGAGATGAGTCTTTAGGGAATGCCTAAAGGCAGTCAAGGTGGGTTTGACAGAGGGGGGTTGCAGACACTGAGCGGTTGGTTAGGTGAATGAGTCTAGCAGCTGCATTCATGATAGACTGAAGGGGGGATAGCCTTTGTAGTGGAAGGCCAATGAGGAGGGAGTTGCAATAGTCAAGACGAGAGATAACAAGGGAGTGGATGAGTAATTTTGCGGTTTCTTTGGGGAGGAAGGGGCGTATTTTGGAGATGTTACGAAGGTGAAGGCTGCAGGATTTGGATAGCGATTGGATGTGGGGAAGAAAGGTGAGTTTCGAGTCAAGGATGACACCTAGGACTTGGCATGGGAGGAGCGGTGGATAGTTGTGTTAACAATCGCAAGGGAAAAGTTGGGGGAAGGTGCACGGGGGGAGGTAAAATCAAAGGCTCAGTTTTTAAAAGATTGTGTTTTAAGAAGTTTTGCGACATCCAGACGGATTTGTCAGATAGTAGATTAGTGACACGAGAGGACACAGAGGGGGTGGTGAGTTGTGGAGTAGAAAGATAGATTTGAGTGTCATCGGCAATGAGTGTCATTCCAGTGAAGAGCACTGTTAATGTTACAGCATGCAAAGACAATTTAGACAATTGTGCACGTCCATCTTTATGGTAACAGTTTGGGGAAGGCCCTTTTCTGATTCAACAAGACTGTGCACAAAACAAACGCCATTACAACATGGTTTGAGGGTTTGGTGTAGAAGAACTCAAATGGCCTTCACAATTGTCCTGTCTTTAACCAATGAACTGGAGCGTTGAAGTATAACAAAATGCACAGCATGTGGGTCTGGTGTTTTGATCACCTTAAAGTACCACTGTCACAAAATATATACACTGAGTGGCCAGATTATTATGACCACCCCATCAGTACTTCGTTGGGCCACGAGATGACTTCGTTGGGCTGCCTCGTGACTCCACCAGATGTTGAAAGGTGATGCGAGGAATCTGACACTGCACTGTTGTCCTTCTCTTGTCTTGTACCAGTCTTGACACTCTCCGTTCTGCCCTAACATTGACTAGTCGCTGACGGCCAATTTTTCGCACGTTCAGACCCAGATTTTCGGCTGACAGTCCAGTCTTTAAACACTTTAACAACAGCCCCTCTTGAACATTTAACGAATTCTGCTTTTATTGCTGATACTCGCTCCATGGCTCCGAGCCCCAACAATCATCTCACGTTCAAAGGCTGTTAAATCGCGTTGTTTATCCATATCTTCAGAAAAAAATCACTTCTACTGTCGTGGTAAACAACCTGCTTCCCTATTTATAATGGTCTGGCCCTCTAGCAACTTCAGCACGAAATTATAGCTAATTATAGCTAATTTGCCTACAAACGTCAGGTGGTCATAATAAACTGGCCACTCAGTGTATAGTATTCTGATAGCTGTATATAGTAAATACAGGCAACAATAGTATTCAGCTCATAAATGTTAAAAATTTTAATTTATTTTTTATTTTAATTTTTATGCACCTTTACTTGTAGGTCAAATGACAGGGACTAAGGCAACCTATAAAATATACACTCATTTTATCTTATTCTGAGTTTTATATCATCCATACAACAAGATTCATGAGGTTCTCACATGGGTTTCTGGGCAGACTGCTGTCTCTGGTCACATGACTATGACTTGCAAGTTCCTTGTTGGTTTACAATGGGTGCAGATAAGGCGCAGTGTGCCCAGAGAGGGTAGAGCATGAGACAGTACACAATGACCTGCCAGGATGGAAGTAGAAGCCATTCAGCATTGACTTCCACAGTGTGTGTACAAATAAAACATTAAACATTTAATTAAACATTTAATGTTTGACTTGTTTTCTTCATATAGTCTTTAAAAGACATCAGTGGGAGTTCACAAGGCAACATAGGCAGAAGCCTGATGCCCCAGTGGATGTTTAGAGGGCTCAGTGCTCCTGCAATAAACCAGGATCACAGTCAGTCACAAGAGAGGATACATTTGTAGGCAGTTGGTGTCTGATGAGGTAGACCATGCGAATACAGGCAAAGCAAGTGGGGAAGTTAGTCTATTGACATTGCAATGCTTACAATGTCAATCAAATGAATGGGGGGGGGGGGGGGGGGGGGGGGGCGCCCGG